CAAAAAAATCATCAGGTTACATTTTTCCCCTTTCCTCAAGTTTGCGAATCAATGATCAAACAAAACAATTTTCTCAAAAAATGCATGTTTTTTGCCACTTTTGACATAGAGGGACACGCCCAGGGAAAATAGGCTCCGCCCACTTTTTCCTGGGCGCGCGCTTATCACATTTTGTTAGTGAATGACGGTGTACTTTGAGACATTATTGTGTGGGAAAAATTATTATTTGTAGAAGAACGATCACCTGTTTTTTTGCATTTTTTCATAATTTTTTAAATGCTACTAATTTTTTTTTCGTAATTTTTGATTTTTGGTTTATCAACGCTTTTTGGGGTCTTGGCATTCAGCCAACAAGGTCAAAAGAGACTTATTTTTCTTCTCATTCATCATTCTTGAGAGATTTAATGATAAGTGATAAGATAGATCAAGTAATTTATCAATTTTTCTGACCTACCCAAAAATATGAATTATATCGATTCCTATAAGAGATATCAAAAATTTGTAAACGGATAAAATGTAGCTGATAATATGAGAAATATTTTATCAGTTGACAAATTTTCGATATCTTTCACAGAAAACGAGATATATGAGCTCAAAGTTGACTTTGCCCTTTTGATCGGTCATTTTGATACCTCAACCGGAAATTCGTCGATTTCCCCCTTTGAACTATCCATTTCCCTCCCCTTCAATCAAGACTATTTGACTGCTGCATACTTTGAGCAGCTGATCCTTCTTTCTGTCGATTTTCGATTTTCTCTCCTCTCAAAATGTGTCATTATCTTTAAAATGATGGGGAGCATCATCAGTGGCACAATTTTAACGAAATCTGTTGTTTATTTTCGTGTTTTTTGCTCGGTCCTCTTGTCTAGCGTACGACAAACAGATGTCGCTTTTTTCCTGGGATTTTTGAGTTGTAACAAAAAAAAATATGATGACATAATAACGATGATAACGTTAAAGATCGTGACCGTTATATTATTGTGCTTGGTATAAATTAAAAACGAGTTGAGTTTTTTTAAAATTCAGAAAAAAAACGTTTTTTTTTCCTTAACCCCGAAAAATTATCGAATTTCGTTGAAAAAAAAGTTAGGGTAGGTTCTAGTCTTTATCACTGATAAATTTTCAGTGCCGTTAACAGTTCATGCGCCGAGATATTGGAACTAAACATTTGAATTCCCGCCGAATCTGACTAGGCGGCGAAGCGCGGCTAGTCAGGCTATTTTTCGGATTTCCGCCAAATTTCAGCTGAAAACACGAGAGTGGCCGGAGCTAAGGTCCGGAAGCGTAGTTCTTAAAGGAGCATGTATTTTGCGCAATTATTTTCTGGTCTATTTTTTCGATTTTTCAATGAATTTTTTAGATTTTCCGGTGATTGTCCCTCTGTTTATGCAATTGCCTATTTTCTTAGATTTTTCGCTATTTTTGACCATTTTTTTCAAAAAAATCAGTAAAATCGCATAAAATCGCTTAAAAACAGTAAAAATTGTTGAAAAATCGCCGAAATTCATCGAAAAATAGAAAAAATATGGCAGACAATGATACATGATCCTTTAAGAAATTTAACCTTTAATCGCTATTGTCGGATTAAACAAACTGGGACCTGAAAATTTTCGCGGGTAACGCTCGTGTCGATTTACGAGACATCGCTCCAAAAACGGATACTGTAAATAACAAATTAGTTTATGTGAATTTAGGGGGGTACGACGAATTCGAACGTTTTCAAAATCGAACAGACCTAAAATCGAACAGATTCAATTCAGAACAGTCCTTTTTTCGCACACGTACCAGAATAGAACGCGGACAGAATCGAACTGTTACAAGTTCGAACTGGTAAGGAGTCGAACTGTCCCAAATTGGAACGCTGCCTGCAACAGAGCGCGCATGAAAGCACACACAAAACAGCTCGAAAAACGTTCGAATTCGTCGTACCCCCGAATTTAGTGGGATTTTCTGAACAAATTTGTGATTTCTTGGTTTGTGATTTCTTCTATTTTTCATTGAAAAACCAAACTTAATGCGAAAGTAGCTCGAACGAGGCAAAAACCTGAAATACTACGTTTTTGCCGCACTTTTTCGTAGATCAGAAAAAGCTACGCCTTTCAAATTCTCAGGTCCCACTTTTTTTAATTCAACAATATTATCGGGCCTTACTATTACACGTGTATTTTTCAAATGATTGCACGCGCCTTTAATACAGTACCTCAACATTTATTGGATTTTTGCCTTTTTCTCTCATTTTTTCGCTTATTTCTGTCTAGTTTTGTCTAATTCTTATGAATCTTCAGTTTGTTTTTCTTATAAAATAGAAAAAAACAGCCAAATAGGGCCCAAAATAAAAAGCGTCCGAGGTACGGTATTTAAAGGCGCATGCATCAATTTGTTGTTGTCGCTGTGCGACCGACGATGCGATTTTGAGTAAATTTTCGGCCGCAACGTGCATTGATTTCGGACGAGAGTAATAGCTCCGCCCATCCTTAACTTTCGATTGCAATGATTTTTTTTGAATTTCCGCCAAATCTGGCAATATGACGAACCTGCAAATAGCGCCGCCCGTTTTCGAATTTCCGCTGAATTCCTGCTCTTTCCATTTCACCCGATTCCTAAAACAATTTGTTTACAATGTTCTCTTTCTCCCTCCGATAATGCATTATTCCATAAATCACATGAGAACTGCTGATTTGCATAATTTCTGTTTTACCTCATCATTCCCTCCATTTTTCCAGCGAAACGATGTAAACCGAACAATTTTTGTGTTTTAACTCGAAATTTATTATCAATTCAATTTTCCCAGTCATCATTCTTTTCTTCTTCTTCTTTTTCCCCAAAATTTGTATACAATAGACCCTGGCGAGACAGTATGGCAATCATGAGAGACGCAGAGATAACTGATAAAGCGCGCCAAATGTTTCATGAATGGCGATAGTTAGCGAAAAGGCATTCATTTTTCACGTATTCTCTAGTTTGACCCGCTTTTGGAGCCATTTGAGGGTAATTAGAGCTAGCGTTTATAGCTATTATTCTTGTGCAAAAAAATTGGAGTTGTGGCCGAATTTTCACACAAGTTAGGCCACCGTATTTCTAGGAGAATTTTCGAAAACACAGCCGGCAAACGACTGCCAGTGTACCGCCACAACAAATATCTTCGCCACATTTTTGTAATACTTTTTTCCTTATTATCGACTTTTCTCGCTTTTTTCGCAGTTTTGGCCGTTTTTTTACCCAATGGTTTCACCTAATGGTGAAAAAA